TGTTGATGATGAATTCCACTCTGTTTGTCACCATGTTGTCACCCTGGGAGACTCCTCCCTAACTGAAGCTGCAGTCAGCTTGTCAGCCTGGGAATGGAGCTGAGAGTCAGGAGAAATCCAGGCCTGAAAAGAATTTCCAAGCTGTAATTCCCCAGCTCTCTAAATGTGTGTGTCCACAGAGAGGAATGGCTGTGATCCATTAGGTTGTGACCACTGTAGATCCACATTCTCACAATAGCTGTTTCAAAGCAGTGAATTGCCATATTTAATAAGGAGCTAAATTGTGCACATTGTGCTCCTTTTCTTACCTGAGAACTCACCTTCCTCCCAGTAAGTTAAAGAAAGAATTTAGACTACAGTGTGGCACTTCTTGTTTTACAGTTGGCTTCTCCAGGGTGTGAAAGATCTTAATTTCATCTTTAATGTTTATTTAGTTTGTGGCTATCTTTCCTGCTTTGTCCTGCTGTCTGTCTTACAGAAAAGAATTTGTGACAGTTTTGGAGCTTTTATCACATGCTTACAGGCCAAAAATATAAGTAGTCACTTTGACTACAGTCAAAGACTGTAGTCTTTGAGCACTGTAGAAATATCTGACCCAAAAAGCTCACTGCCCTTCCACGTTTCTGTGCATCAAGGGGGCTGTGTTGCACACAGTAGCTCTCTGAGGCACTCTAACACACAGTTAGCCAGCAGCTGGTCTGGATCCTTCCCTCTGGTTCTCCCTTGCTGGGTGTGTAATGCCAGGGAAAGCCTGAGATAAATAAAACCATCTCTTGGGAGGGAATGTCAGAAAATTGATTTGAGGAGCTAAAGAAGTGCCACGGAGGTCCTGACTAAGCAAGGAATAGGAAGGATGCCCTAGCAGGGGTAGGAAGGAGTCATCAAGAGAAAGGACTGGGAGAATTCTGCTTCAGCTCTGTGCTGCCTTTGGTTGTAAATGCAGGAATGTAGGAGGGGATAGGAGAGGTTGATAGATTTGTTGAATCCCACCATGTGTCATTGTCCCTGTAACGATACACTGGGGCTCTAGCAGAAAAAAGTCAGTGATGTTCAGTGAGATTATTATTATTTTTTTGATTTTTGCTTTGCTAGCAGGATACAAGCTGCCTCTTCAGTGTGTGTGCATTCCCATACAGGCTTGTTTATTCCCAGTTGTGGATCATGCAGCATGCACTGGAAGGAGCAGAGGATGGCTGCCCAGAGCTTTGGCTGTTGAAGGGGTGTGAGGAGAGAGTGAAGCTGCTCTTCTTGTCCAGGGTGCTGAAGGGCTTTGCAGTGGCAGTGGGATACATTCAGTCTCCTCTGCCTCCACTGTTCAAATGAGTGTCTGCAAAGGCTTACTGGGAGCTGGGATGAGATCCCAGTGAGTTCCACTGCTCTCTGGGAAGGGAGGGGAGTCAGTCAGGTGAGGTTTGGACTTTGAGATCATGGTTTAAAAGTGAATAGGATGTCCCTTTCTCCAGGCTGTTTCAACTGATGTATGGGCTTGTATGCTTAAAGGATCAGTAAGATGTGTGTTAAGCCATACATATATGGTTTAACACACATCTTACTGATCCTTTAAGCATTTTGGAACAGAGACTGGAACCCATATATACCAGTTTCAGTAGAAAACAATACTATGTTAAAAACTCTTGACTAACAGGTAAGACACGACAACCTTGAGACCTTGATTGACTCTCCCAGCAGCTCTTCAATGCCTGTTCTAGAGAATATCTGTCTGGGATGGCTGAATTAACACACCAGTTTTATCTTTCTTTTATGTCCTGCCCATTCCCAGCATATCAGGTTTGACTCTAGCTGCCTTCCTACCCCCTTCTATTTTCATAGATTTCACCTCCCCCCCACTCTGCTTTAATGTACAGGATTGTGCTGGTTTTCCAAGAGAGCAGTCAGGAGATGGTAATAGAGGGGAAAAGTCTTACAAATCATCCTTCCTTCCCACATAAAAGTGTGGGACACACTTAGAAAGCTGATGTCAATCAGCAAAGGCCTTTGGGGGCCAAGATTTAGGGGAAGTAAATCAAGCAAGCTGGCTGCAGCCAGACTGGGATGTGAACTGGCACAGCTCCACACCTGCCTGCAGCAGTGGAGGGTGTGTGCCCTGTGCTTCACATACAATTTCCTAGAGAAACCAAGCAGTGCTGACAGCTCCTCTTGGCATTCTTGCCTGCCAGCTTGGATTCAGTGGAGGCATTTCATTTTGTGGGAAGCTGGATAGAGACAGTGCAGTGTCTGAGGGGCAAAGAAGCCATCAAGTCTAATTTGTAAATATACCCCATTCCAGGCATCCCCCTATTCCAAACAAGGCTCATGCCTTACAGAGTGCATGGAGCACACTGATGGAATTACTGCATTTCAGAGTCCAAAGGAAAGCAAGCTGCTGAATTAAGCACAGCCAATCATGGGTACTGCCAAATGCTATTAGGAAGTTTAAATTAAGTCTGGCAGGGCAGGAGGTGGCAAATGTCACTGTAGCTATGTCCTCTCTGGCCCCACTGGGATATTTCTTCATTTACATGATGGCTGTTCCCAAGATTGCTCTCACCAGCAGCAGTAGTAGCCTTTTCTCATTCTTGGGGGTGATGCTCTTTGCCTGTAGAGCTGATCAGTGTCGAGTTTCTCCCATTCAGCTTTTCCCAGTGCTTACTCCTGAGTGCAGCACTAGTCTGACCTGGCTGCGAGATTTCCCTGAGGGTGATTTACAGCTCTGTGTGTGTATGGGAGTAGCAGTAAAAATCCAGTCAGAGATGCTTTTTTCCTCGATTGCTTACCCTCAATTAGGTTCTCCCAGACTGAAGGGTCTATTAACATGCTGTCTGCAAGCCAATACAGACTTGTTCCACCAGGAACTGGCTTGCTGCTAATACTGGACCCACCTGACTTTAGGTCAGGCAGCATTGCCTCTTCTTGCCATATTTAGCACATTCCACTGAACTAATCAGTGTTTTGTGCCTTGAGGGGCTGACAGGGAGGGACAATTTACAGTGTCTGTGCAAGCTGTGCTTGACTGGGTAAAATTCAGCTCCAGCAAGAGCTATTGTTAGAGTACACGAATTGTTTTTACTTTCAGTAGCACAGAGGAAGTCAGGCTGTTACCCATTGCTGGTGTGCAGGGATTCGCTTGCATGATCCCATCGTGCTGCAGTAGGTGTGTTTGGAAAGCCTTTTTAGAAGACAAAGCCCCATTGTTCCCACAAGGGTTCCCCAAAGGGTGACTTCACACCCCTTGATCTGTGAAATTGAGGAAATGCAAAGCTTTTACTGCAGGGATGTCCCATGGATGCTGCTGGGAATCTTAACCTGGGAATTTATTGTGTCAGGGAAACCTGTGTGGACACTACTCCACAAAGTGTTTTATCTGTAGCTGATGCTGTTGGAAGGAGAGAATTTGTATCACACTGTCTGTGGTTTCCTGTTGGATTGTAGCGAAATTATTCCCTCGGGTTGGACTTCTGCCCTTCTTCCCTGGGAAAGAATCACATGGCCCAGTGTGGAGAGCACACAGATCCCTCTTGGAGGCCATGTCAGCAGTGCAGGAGTGACTGGGAGGGTGGCTTGTCAGAAATGTGCTATGTGACATGAGTCCTACTGAAGTGTTGCAGCAGCCTTAGCTGTGACTGGCCCTGTGCAGGAGGGGTGTGCACTTGAATTTACCCTTTCCCTGAGAGCTGTTGTCAGCAGCTCTGGAACACCTGCCTTCCAGCACCTTATCCTCACCAGGCAGTATTTCTGTCCCCATGTGCGTTTGCATAAGGAAAGAATTGGACTGTTCCAGCTGAGTCTGTCCTGGTGCTGAACAAGCCCTTAAGCCCTGAACAAGCTTCTCAGGGTACTCAGGTACATGGGAATGAGACTGGGAATGCACTGAGATTCTGGGAATGAGACTCATGAGGTGCTCAAAATAACACAGTTCCTAGCAGTACGTGCAGTCAATCACAGGACAGTTGTGTTGAGCTGGGCTTGATGCCACTGCTGGGGCTCACATGAGGATCCAAGCTCTTTGTTCCTTGGGGTGCTGACTGAATGTGGTTTTGGCAATATTGCCCTCTTTGGTAGGATGCTAGAATATGTTTTGGGTCAAATTCAGCTCCTAAGTGTGAAGGATAGCAGCTAAGGTTGACTAAACCTTAATCAGACTTCCAGTGTTCCCATTGGCCATGTTAGAACAGCTTTGTGAGGGGCCATTCCCACAAAGGGAAAAATGTTCCATACAAGCTGCTGAGTGATCCCACCTACCCTCTCCTGAGGAATATCATGGTAATATTCAAACCCTTGGAGGAGGATCCTTTAAGAAATGCTGGGAATCAGCATCTCAGCCACGTGCACAGTGAGACAAGACACAGTTAATGATGTATCTTTCTGTTGATGCTCGTAACCTTTATTTGGTCACTGTGAGAAAGCATATACAATGAATTCCCTTTCCTCCCTGTGGTTATCTTGAAACTTGTGGAGTGTTATTTATTTCTTTTCATGTAATTTTTGCTTACACGAGGCATTTGTGGCAGTTCCCATGACTGAATAATCTAAACCAGCAAAAGGACTCTCTTACTACTGAAACCCTGTCTATAGGAGGATTCATGATGGTCTTGCAGTGTTACACAAGTTGGTTTTTTTCCCTGCTAACCTGTTAGCATTTCTTACTGCAGAGGAAAAGCCTCTAGTCAAAAACTCATTTTCATTTTTACCAGGTTCATGCTTTCTCTGTCTCATGTAAGTAAGTTGCAGGCTTGTGGGTACCAGAATACCAATAAAATTTAAGATTTTTACTTTCAGGAAATAGAAGAAAATTTAATGCAACAGACAGGAGAGAGTCCAGCACAGATGTCTAATGTGTTAGTTTTATTTAAAGATGGTCTGTCAGTGCTAGCATAAGAAATGTTCTTTAAAAAACATCAAATAAATAAATAAATAAATAAATAAAAATAGGAATAGCTTTCTGTTGAGAAGTTTAGAAATCATCTGGCTTTCATCTTGGGAGGAAGGGGTACTGTAAAGCATTCTTCAGAGCAGGGAAGAGGGAGGTTGATCCTAATTTCTCCGGGAACCTGCAAACCAAACATGAAATAAATGTCACTAGAATCCGGTTTTGTCTTGGTACATGTCACCATTGTCAGCAATGCTTTTGAGAAACCAATACTAGCTTAAATACTAGGCTCAAATTAATTCCATTCTCAAACTGTGTTTTCTTAAAGACTTAAGTGAGAAGCTGCTCCTTGCCTGTCCCATGGCTGTTCAGTGAAATGGTTTAAACAGGACTCACCATTGCACCCCATCCCACTGAGGGAGCCGATCCGGTCAATCCTCCTCCCAAAACAGCCAGAATCTCTCATCATCCTGGGCATTTGCAGCCCCCTCAGTCTCTTGAAGAAGGGGTCTCTGTAGGACAGAGGGATGTTGGCTGCAAGCCTGGCTTCAGCCTTCTGGTTGTCACTGTCATCAGCGAGTTCTGACGGGATCTCCTCCTGGGTTTTGGGTTGTTGCAGGTCAGGATTGGACTCCAGGGCTTCAATCATTGCAAACTTATCCTCCAGTCTCTCCAACAGAGCCTGTAAAAGAAGGATTAAATTCATGAAACTCATTGTTTTGTGGTCATTTACTAACTCTTCCAGTCCCTCTGTTCTGCATTCATCAATGGTCCCATAGCCCTCCCTAGGGAGGCTGACAGGTTGGATCCCAGCTTTGCTGGTTCTGTCCTTTGCATTATATCCCTGTTCACAATAATTCCATCTAAGGGAAGATACAGCTTCACCTTGTGAACTGAATGAAGCTGCTTGCCACAATGTGTATCTTACTGGCAAGGTTAGAAGACATCTTGGCAGAGAAGAAAATGCAAGATGTGGGTTGCACAGGGAGATACCAGCGGTGGTACACAGTCTGGGAGAACCTCTAGCCACACAGCCCACTCCCACATTCCCAAAAGTTGCTGCTTTGTCACCTCACTTGGAGAAGCTCTTGGTATTTTCACTGATCTCTGCCGCATGGATTACAGGATTGCTACTCCTTAAAGTAACTGAAAATTCCTGTATGGTAAATTCACTGCTGTGTGATTGCTTCCTGGGTGCCATTCTTTGTAATTTGTAAAACTTCCTGTAACTGGGGTCAGATAATCTCCTTAAGGGCAGCTCAATCAATTAGAGGAGTCTAATTGCCCATCTCTAGAATATGAATAGAGAGGAATGAGCCTTATGTCTTGCTTGACAGTGGAGTGCATTTGGAAGCCACTCTTCCTGGCTGCTGGAAACAGCCTAGAGGCAGCTTTAGCTTCAATTGTCCTTACCAGCTCAGGGAGTTTGTTCTTAGGGCCTGAGAACAGCTTTGAGAAGCTGGTCACTGGTACCAGCCCAAGGAAAGGTTTGAGCTTTCAGATCCCATCAGTCTCAAGCTTGGACTGTGCTGTAACAATGGATTTTCTCTATTATTTGTTAAAATTCTTATCTGGTCGTTTTATAGCTGTGGAAGTTTTCTGGATCAGCCACACTAAATGATTATGTTATTCCCCTAGTAATGTTTTGAAAAGTCTTTGGGTGCTCCGCTTCACCTCCTCATCTCATCCAAACACAACCAGTTCTCTCAAATTCACAAAGCTAGAGCCATATGGCTGCCTTATGGAACAGGGATAGACATATAGGCATCAGGATAGACAGGACCCCACCTCAAAATTTTCTATTTGTTCTTACAGAGCTACTCTGATGATTTTTTCCTTCCCTGGAATTTTGTTTCCAGGAAGATGTATCTTTCAAAAGAACAGAAACGCCAAAGCAGACATCCTACAATATCACAATTTCGGTTCCCACTACTGCCCAGGAGCTCAGGTGAGCCCAGCATGGGAGGATATTGCCCTACAGAGCTTCTCTGAACCCCTTTGAAGAGCTGAGGCTTTGTCCCCTGGCATGTGATGGCTGATGTGGTTATTGGAGTCCAGTCATGCAAAAAGGAAGACAAAGCACCACCTCACACTCTGCTAAGCACCCCAAAAGTTAAATCTTGCAAAATGAGAGTCCTCACCTCCATGCTGGCCAGTTCTTTGGCAGGGCTGAGGCTGTAGATAGGGTTGGCTCTGCTGGACTGGAGCTGGATGAGCAGCAGCAAGAGGAAGCCATAGAAAAATGAGCCTTTAGTGTCCATGGCGCTGACTTCGTTGGGAATAGGAAAGTTCAAGCTCTTTCTTCTGAGATGTCCCTTCAAGTCTCTCTCTTTCTTGTCCTGTTGTGTCTCTTCTGAAGCTTGTCTTTTATACTCTTTGGGTGATCCCTGCTTCCTAGGTTATCAGTGGGTTTATCTTGGGCACATTCCAGTCCCACTGTAGGCATGCAGCTCTGTCAAGGGAAGATTCCCTTTATTAGCTGTCATTAGGCAGCAGCTGCTGTTGCTGAGGAATGTATGTCACAAGTCAGTGATTTCATGTCACTCCCCCTCCTCTTGATACCAGGCGCTGTGATTACATAGTCCAGTTGGAAATTCTTAGCAATTCTCTTTCAAGAGACCCCTATGGTCAGATTTACAGAGATGGGAAACAATCCCAAAACTGCTCTAAACTTTGCTCAGTTAGAAGATTTCTGTAAGGAAATTGCCTTTTACTGGGAAAACAACAGGCTTTCAGATGAGTTTTTGGTGAAGAGTCAAGAATGAAGATAAATGGACTTTCAGGACAAGTATTGTGCATGCTTTCCTTCTATATATGGAATATGTGCGGCCACCACATACCACAGAGTGCGCTGAAAATCCCAGATTTGGGCCACTTCTCTTTTCCTCTTGCTCCTGAGGTGATATCACCACTGAGACTTTGTGTTTGTGTGTTACCAACAAGAGCAGCACCTCGATCTGCACCTCGGTGCAGACTGACTGGGGAGAGCGAGCCCTGCACGACAACCCGGCATTGGTACTGCTGAAAAAAATCATATTTGATTTAAACAAATTTAAACATTTAAATAATGGGATTTCCTTAAGCATTCATGGTAAGGCTTGACCCTGCATCAATAAAATTTAAAGAACAGGCAGCCAGATTCAGCAATAATCTTCTTTTACCATCATTGAAGAAAGAAAGTTGTTCGATGAGAACTTAAATAGGTAGCTTTTGGTGTTATTCAGAAAGGTGTCAGAATCTGTTCCAAAGAAAGAATGGATGGATTTGTGTATGTATGTTTTGTGAGGAGTCAAAGCAAAATCTTTAATTTTATATGTTAAAAATAAAAAGTATTTCTTTGTTTCTTTAACTGCTGAATGTCTTAATATTAGCTAGAAACTGCCTATTCTTAAATGAGCAATTACAGAAGTACAGAAGTGCTTCAAATTTCTCTTCCATTGGTGTCTTTGTGCATATAATATAACTAAAAATTAATCTTTTTACAGAAATGCAAGGGAGTTCTAAATCATGAAGCAGTGGCTTTTTTTGCATTTTCCTAATGTTTCTCGTTCCTTTAAATTGAAACAACAGAAGTTGAACGTCAGTCTAGTAATAATTTGTTGACTCTTCATACGAATCTAGATCTTGAAACAATCTTCTGAGTACACTTTAAAAAGAATAGCAATAGAATGATAAAGTTTTTCCCATGTCTTAAATGTCTTAACATGGTGTTTATGTACAAATATGTCCACATACTGTTCACATGATCAGCTACCAAAATTATACTAGAAAGGACGTTCTCAAGGTTGTGAAGTCACACTCCAATGCTATTTTTCCTAATGTAGCCCGAAGTCAGCCCAACTCTGTGTTCTGATGAAGCCCTTTATTATAAGAGCTCTCTCTACTTTTCCTCAGTGCTCTAGTTTTTCAGAGCATGGAGGCAATACTAGTTTTTTGTATTATTGTGTGCTCCAACGCTTTCTTATTTTGTGGTTTTAAAAAAGAACTAAGATCCTGGTAGCTTGTTTTTAAAATTAACACTCTAGTGCAGTGTCTGTATAATTTATTAATTAGTTACAAGGATTCTCTTCCTGCTGCTCTTGGTGTGTGTATGTTTGTTTGTGCCAAGGTGTTACTTTGTTTTGTAAACTGCAAAAGTGGGAGAAGATTAACCAGAATCATTCATTGATTTTGAGTGTCTAATTTAAGATAATTAGAATCTGTTATTGTTGTATTTCTTGTTTCTTTCCTTTCACACCCCACCCACACTAAGTATTCTCTAGTGCACTCTATGTACAAAAATATTTTGTAGCTTGCTCTGAGTTTTCCTTTGTGCCTGGTTTGTTGGATTTTTTTTTGTACAGCAGCCCCTGGGGCACAAACCCAGCAGCAAGAAATTGAGAGACACAATATTAATCTCAGACGTGAAATATTTTGCATTGAGTGACCTGTGCCTGTGAAACAATCTAATTTTTCCAGGACTTTAGTCATTAAGTCGGACCCCGAGATAGTCCTTGCTTTACTCATTCATTCCTTTTCATCCTCTGTGTTCCATGGCAGATAAATAAGATGCAGCAGCACGACTTCAGCCTCGATAATACTTTTCTAAGACAGAGAGCTTTTGTGCTCTATTCCATGTACAATGTAGCAAAGTGTAGAGATGGGATTAAATGCCTGCCTGTCACAGTAGCAGTTGTATTTTCACAGTCAAATTCTGCTCAATTATCCATCTCACAATTCTGCCAAAGCAAATGGAGCGTGACATGTCAGAACTCAGCTCATCGTTGTTAAAGCTATAAAAGTCACTTGTTTATCTCAGTGTTATCACGCTGATAAATTAATAGGAACTTCAGGCTTTATAGCTCAGCAGTGGAGAGTCAAGATCTAGGCACTGCCCGTGCTCAGCTGGGCATTTCCCTGGTAAAATGTCTGCCTTAACAGGGCAACAGGTTCTTCTAAAAAGCTTACTGTGACTGGTTTTAGGGTTGGGAATCTGGCACATTTCCCCTGCTTCCCAGGGTATGGGATGGGAGGTGTGGTGACATGAGGCTCCTTTAGAGCAGCTCTGGTTGCTGTGATCAGAGAGGGAGAGCACCAAGGGTGCTGCTGGCAGCCTGTGTGTGGATCCTGTGATGAGGAGGATGGACAGAGCTCAGCTGAGCTGACATTGCCCTTTCCCCAGCAAGATGGTTCTATGTCCTTGCTTTTCAGCCCTGTAAGGCTAAGGGCTGTAACCTGGGGGCTGGCTCCATGTGGGTTCCATCTGCTGATGGACGATAGATCTGCCCTAATTCTGCCCTGACCTGTTGCACATCCTTACAGTGGTGCCCATTCTCCTGCTGCCATTCTGTGCTGAAGAGTGTGAGCTGTTTGTACAGAGCCTCCTGTTCTGAGAAAGAGGCTGGATTTGGATTCCTTTCATCTCCCAGCTGAGAGAGGAGAGGAATCCAAAACCCTTGACAAACCTTTAACAAAAGCTTTGACGAAATTATGCCACACCCCCACCCAGGCTCTCTTTCCCTGCACGTTACTTAGATTGAGAAGGAAATGAATAGATGAGGCCGTCAGACAAGAATCAACACAGAAATGTAAAAATGCCTGGAGTGGCCAAACTGCAATTAAGTGGTGCCTCACTTTTTCCTAGGGGGGGAATTTTTTTTCATCCTAAACACGGATTGTTTCCCGGCGATGGTGATGTATTATCTGTGTGTTGCGGCTGCCCTTTCCTTCGCAGGAGCCTCCAGGCTCAGTGCAGGCTGCAGTAGCCCCGGGCAGGCGGGGGTAGCCCGGCGGGGCCGGCGCTGGGTGTGCGGGGCCGGCGCTGGGTGTGCGGGGCCATTGGCGTCTGTCCCGGGTGCTGAAGCCCTCAGAGCCCTTGGCCTGCAGCAGAAGCCGCTGCCAGCTGTATTTTTAAAGTGATGGAGCCCCTCTGTCCTTAGAAGTCCCCCTATGCCCCGTGCCAAGCCTGGCACTGATACCCGCCCATGGCACAGGGATGTGTGTAGGACGTTACCTGGAATTAACCCCCAGATGAGTGCCCACCTCCCGGGAGGATTCTCTGGTAGCAGCAGTGAAGCCATCGGGAAAGGCACGGCTCACTGCCACCGTGCCAGAGCTGGCAGCGGTGCCTGAGTTCAGCGTGGAGGGCCACTGACACAGTCCTGGAGGGGTGCAACCTCCATCCTTCTGCTGCTGCCACCCTCCAGCCAAAGCCTTTCCAGAACAGGGGGGAAGTTCTGGCCAGGGTCAGGACCGAGCCCTTAGAGCAGAGGGAGAGGAGCACTCTGGAGGGGATTTCTGTGTCTTCTGACCATTTGCTAAAACCACTCAAAAAAGGCAGCGTAGGCTTGGCACAAAGTTTATTGCTCCGTACCCCGCTGCCGTGGAGGGTCCGAGGCCAGCGTGGTGGTGTGGCTGCTGAACGCCGTCCTGGAGAGTCAGGAAGCTTTTAAGAGCCGCTCCCGCTTTCAGCTTCTCCCTCTGCTCCAGAAACCTGTGGAAGAAGCGCAGAGAGCAGCGGGGGAAGCCGCTGCGAGGCTTTCAGCCGGGGACAGCGGCAGCTCCCGGGGCTGCCCCGCTCCGCCCCGGTTACCTGCGGGCTGTGCCGGTCCCATCCCAGCCCAGCCGCTCCTCTCCATCTATCCCCGTCCCAAAGCAGCAGCACAAGTGTCTCTGTCTGGGGGAGCACGGGATGCTCATCCGCTGGCTCTGTCCCTCCGCTGGCTGGGGACGTCTGAGCCAGGACTGAGCCCCCGCCCGGCCGCTCTCCGCCCCCGGCAGCTCCCGCTCGGAGCCGCCGTCCTCAGCCCCGGCCAAAGACTCGTCTGCCAGGCTCGGCTCCCTTTCCTCTTCCCGGAGCTGCTGCGGCGACTGCAGGAGGTTCTGCAGAGGATCGAGGAGGGGTAGAGACGCCGCTCCTGCCGCTTCGCCCCGGCAGGATGGCTGCGGGTGGCCGCGCTGGAGCCCCGGCCCCGGTCCCTGCAGGAGCCGCAGCTCCGCACTGCGCTCCTGCCCACGGCAAAACCAGCAGCACCTGCAGCAGAGAGCCGGGATCATCCTATCCCTATCCCTATCCCTATCCCTATCCCTATCCCTATATCCCCATCCCCATCCCCATCCCCATCCCCATATCCATCCCTTTCCCTATCCCTGTCATCCTCTCAATACTGTATTGCTTCTTTGCCCGTGGATGTCTCTCCCGACTCCCGAGCTCAGCTGCCTCCTGCCAGATCCCTGCAGGAGCCGAAGGGCTGCTCTGCACCCTCTGGCTTCCATGAGGGAATTGGTGGCAGCTGCCTCCACAGGTCACCCTCCAGGAGCTGGGGGTCTTCTGAGTGCAGCACCTGCTCCAGAGGGAGAGAGCTGCCCGTAGTCATGTCCCCTACTGGCAGCACCCGTTTTTCCAGTGATTTCCTCTCCCTCCACTCTGCATCACTGTTAGGAAAGAGTTGATGCACTGAAAGAGCCTTGCACTTTCAGCCTGTTTGCTCTGGCTCAGACTCACAGGAGCTGAGAGCTGGGTTGATTTCCCCTCCAAGAGGCCGAGGGATGGATCATTTCCCCGTGCAGGAGACAAGTGGGAGAAATTGAAAATGTTCATTTGTCTGCAGCAGCTCTTGGGACAACAGCTTTTTCTTCTCAGTATACAAATTTCTGTGCCATGTGAGTAGACCATGTCCTGAGACTTGGGTTTAGGAGATTTTCCTTCTTTGAAAGTTCCTCTCATGATGGTTCTCTGGCATTGTCACTAAACCCTTCCTTATCTTTGTAACTCTTCCCTCTGTAAGAGGTGGAACAGCAGAGTCCTTTCATTCACCACCTGGGTAATATTAAAGCAATTTCACTAAGCCTCTGCCTTCTGCCCTCTTCATTTGCTTAGAATGGAAGCAAGCCAGCAGTATCAATTGGTGTGGGACAGTGATTTTTGCATCCAGCTGTTTTAACAGCTGGAAACTGGGTTTGTTTAGAGCAACACACCAAGGAACCTGGCAGAGAAAGGAGATGTGTGTTTTGAAAGCACAGTACCTGCTTGAAGGAAGATTATGGCAGGTGAGAGGGTTATTGTTGATAGAGAATGAAAGCAGATCTGGGTGAGGATGTGCAGTATCCTCAATTTTGTGTGTACTGAAGACAGGAGTGGAAAGGGATAAAGCAGTCAGACTGAACAGGATGTGTGTGATGATCAAGGGGAATAAATACAACCGGCCTTTTATTAATAAACTAGCCAGAAGTGAGTCTTGGATGAGACCAAATCTCGACTGCTGCCTAACATCAGTTAAAATCAGGCACACCAAAAGCACACGTATTTGAGAAAGATATCTGTATGTTTCTTTCCATGTAGGTGTGCTTTTATTGGAGGCTTTTTTCTGTAACACTGGTCTGTAAATTCATGCACTGCTTCATAGCAAATGGCACAGCTCGAGATGTGCTTCCCTCATCTGACTGCATCCTCATTTCAAAGCTTAGCTTTGATTAAATGTTAATAGAGCTCAGAAAATTACCAGAAAGTACAAACACACCTGGCTTCAGTCCTGGAGATCTAATTATGGAGCCTTTTGTGTGAAAAAAATTGTTCTTGCTTTGAGAAAAGTGCCTCTTTAAAATATTCCCACAAAATTCCAGGTGATGGGATGGCACATTACCAGCTCGACCTCTGTAATTGCAACTCTTATCTGTTTCTTATTCATCTTCTGTAGGATTCTGTTCACAAGTGCTCACAGCTCAGACTTCAACCTACTCTGACCTCTGTTATTTTTTTGCAAATAAACTTCAGTATGTTTCATTATGGACTGCTCCATCATTGGAGAGCTTGTACTCAGGGCTGTCTATGTATATGGCAACAAATATCTGCTTAGCACATTTTCACAGTGCTGCTGCTTTGTTAATAAAGTTAACTTAAACAGATTAACTAGCAACAACATAAGACCTAACCAAAAATGTTAAACAAAGAAGCCTTCAGGATATGTTTTTCAATTTTCTTCTCAGTGCTTTGAAATACTTGGATCTACCTATGGAAGAGTAGGGTGCCTTTGAATTTCCTTCAAAGAAGGGTAGTATTGTTTTGGGGTTGGTTTCTTTGTTTGGTTGGGTTTTTGTTTTTTGGTTTTCGATTTTTTTTAAATAAGATGAGGTATACTACTAAGAAAAATTTGTTTTCCTTGATCAGTGGCAGATCTAAATGCAAAGTCACTGCTTTCTAGTGATGTCTGCTAAGAGAGCTGCCCTCTGTTCAAATTGTGGGTCAGAGACTTGGGCTTTGTGTCCTGGTTCCTATTTACCAAGAGCAGCAGCCCTCTGAAAAGCTCCTGAGTTCCAGTGTCTAACTGCAAACCAGGGCTCTGTTTCAGGAATGAAATATGAACAAATCACACAGCAAACTTCAAAGCAAATTCATTATGGAAAACTCTTTACAACCTGTGACATAATGAGACTTGTTTATTTATACATTCAGTAAACAAACAGTACAAATGTAGTTTTCTGCAATTAATTTTCAGATAGATGTTCACAAAGAACTACTCTGATACAAAAAGGCAGTACAAGTAAAGGTGTGTTCTGTTTGCCAAGCATATCAGGGGAGAGGTGGGTGCATTTGCTCAGCACATCATGTAGTAGGCAAAGGCTGCTTTGAAACCCCAAAGTCAGTCCTGTCAATAAAAAAGATGAATAAGTAATAGAGGAGTGTACAGGATTTCACACATAGAAATTAATTTTTTACTGTTCTAGTGGCAGTGTTCTGCTTAGAGTTTGTTTGGATTGAAACAAGTATGCCTGGGGAGCTGGTGAAAAACCTCTCTGATGTTCTAAGACAAGATGAAATGCTTACAGCTGACTCAGAGGAAGGAGGGAAAGCAAGTAAAGCAGAGGTGTGGCATTCACAGGTCTTAAGTCTATGTCTGATGACAGCCAAATCTGAGGAAGGTAAAATAATGAATTGTGTTTGTGATAGGAGGGTGAAACTTACTTTAAGGCACAATTTCCTTGAAGCTGAATTAACTCTGCTTTTTTGCAGATTTCTGCAAGTTATACATGAATACACAGACCAGCAGCCTCTGGCTTTCTCTTACCATAGTAGGGTCAGCATCCTAATCCACTCAGTGACCCAATTCTGTCTAGTCTGACACCAAAACAGCCCCTGGAGAGACCCTTTTTGCTTCTGCCTTGGTATCTACGGGATAAACTCAGGAGGTCACTGAAGAATCTCCAGATCACTTCGTCAGCCATGGAAATGCTCTCGGGCTGCTCCCTGGTGTTTTGGACCCACTGGAGTTCAGTTTCTTGCTGATCAAAGACTCCTGCTGGGATCAGCTCATCTTGCTCATGGCCCCTCTCTTCTGAGACCTGGGGATGCTCCAGGTCCTCATCCAACAGTTTGGACAGGCTCTGGAAAAAGGGAAGAGAGGAGAAGGAGGCTTTTGGGAACTCTCATTATTTCCATATAAGCCATACTCAGTGCTAAGTTTGAGGATGTATTTCTGAGCTGCCAGACTGCCAGTTAAGTCTTTCCTGGAACTGGGCATATGGGATAAATGATGAAAAATTTGAAAAAGGCCTGATAAAGTGTGAATAACGAACCAGAAAAAAATAGTTAGATCTCTTAGATGTCTAAGAGAATTAATGCAATGGTAGGAGACATGCTGGAATTGGTTCTGAGGGATTATATTATACATTCCTTTGCACACTGGGAGATTACTTCATATGTGGCTCCCTAGTGCAGTGACTGACATGGTTTTTTTTAATGACTTGGACTTCCTGCACAAACAAATACACATAGATACACACACACACACTTTCTCTTTTTCTTATATTCTACACCTGGTAGTCACAATCAGGGACTGCATTGCTGCACAATCGAGGTGAGGAGGAGATCCTGCAGGTACAACCCCTTAAATCTTTTTTCAGCTAAAACCAGGGGCTTCAGGGAGGAGCATGCAGGTGACTGCTCTAGAGCTTTAGATCACAGTCCTTCCATAATTTCTTTTACTCCAAAAGCTCATTGCTACACTCAGTCACAGGATGACCCTAAATTCACAGGAAAAAAAACCCAAACATTTTCCTTTCCGTTGCCTGATGTGATTAGAAATTTAAATCCAGTGATCAATGACTTTAGTTTCCTCTGTTTAATAACTCTGTGTCTGCCCATCTCAGCATTCCTGCTGCCATGATGTCTCTTTAAGATGGGGTTGGAATAAACAGAGTTCATCTGCTGTGTCTAATTCCTAAAGAAGCATCAGCTTCTTTCAGCTCTGTTGAGCAGCCAGTCACTTACCTGTAAGCTGGAAATGGATCTGGCCTCTGCCTGGTTTTGACTGACAATAAGCAGCAGAAGCAATCCAGGGCAAAAAAGAAGTTTCAGATTCATGTTTGGTGTCTCTGATTCCTCTTCCCTTAAGTCTCTCCAGTTCAGTGTTGCCCTGTGTCTCCAGCTATCAGCACTTATATCTTCCTCCAACTCCTCCCAGATCTACCTTTGGAGTTCCTGCTAGTGCAAGGATTGGTTTGAGGTTTTGATCTGGTTTCATCCACCCAGGAGGAGGAGGAAGAGGAGGAGGAGGGAAGAAATTGTTCTCTTTTCTGGTGGTGAATTAAAGGAGCATTTTCCACTTAGGCAATGCAGCATCATTCTGCTGCCTTGGTGCCACTGATGTGCATGGGTGAGCACAGCTCAGTGTTCCTTGGGCTGACTGCTGAACCTTTCTTTTTCATCCAGAGAAAAATAATTGTGAGAGAGCTATAAAGTGAGAAAGGAAGTGAATGGTACCCATGAGACATTCACCTGGCTCCTTTGTCACTCTGCAGCACCATACCTGAGGGATGGGCTAAGAAAACTGATTAATACTGTGTGAGAACTCAGTGTTATTACATAATCATGATACCATAACATAAAAATATAACTTATTAATATGATGTTATTGACTTAAGAGATGAAAGAATATGATTTGAAGAAGAAGGGGAAAACCAAGAATTACAAATATGACAGGTTGCAGTGGCTATTGGCCTGAATGACAGTGAGTGTGGCCCAAACCAGCCTGACATGCTGGTTTTCCAGGGCCATTGACAGTTTCTACAAGGCCTAAGTTGAGGAAGAAATTCTGCTTTCCCTGGATCCAGTTTAAAATAGTTCCTTTATGTGATCTTTCTCAGTCTATTGCATACAATATATATTAAATCTGCAATCAGTCTGAAAGGAAGAACAGAAATTTTGCCTCACTGAAAGATTGAAATGCAATAATACTTCTTGCCCTTTCACGGCATTTTTGCACATATGTGATGCACAGAGTTAAAGGCCATCAGGCTGGATCTACAGGGAGGAAATGGAAATTAAGAACCATCTGGCATTTTTCATCTGATATTTGAGTTACTGAAAGCTTGCAAACCAGTTTTCAGTATCAACTTGTTGGCCCTGGAAGCTTGGAAAAAATAATTCTGTGATGTGCCAGCAGGTTTAATGTTTTCAATGTTTTTTTCATGTGCAGATAAGTTTGAGGCATAATTTTAAGTGTCTCTAGAAATGAGTGTTATAAGCAGACAGCTTAAAAACCTCCCTCTGTGACAGAAAGGGAAGTCTGATGTTATTATATTGTTGGGTTTTTTTGTTGGTGGTGTTGATGAAAACCACATTTGATATGAATCTTATTAGTAAATGAAATCATCATCCTAGAGGTTTGAGGTGTGGACTTTTCAGTGTAACAACACAATAAGAAAAGGTCAGGGCAGTTGCAGGTTCATCTTTTCTCCTCTGCAAAAGCCCTGGATTGTTTTGTTGCTTGGATTGGCTTGTCTGCATAATGTGGATAATAAATCTTCTGGACCTCGAGTTCTCTGAAGTTGTTTTGGGGTTCTGCTGAATTGTGTCTCTGGTTACTGTTGGCCATTCATACACTAGTACAGTCCTCATCTATGACCATGCTGGTAAAAGAATAATTAAGGCTGGGCAGGACTTCCAGAGGTCTGTGGTGCAATCTTGTGCTAAAGCAGAGCCAACTAAGATGAAATTTCTCAATGACTTGTCAAGTTGAATTTTGAAAACCTTCAAGAAACAATGATTTACTAATATCTACTTGGAATTTTTCCCGTTGCCATTTGTGTCATTGCCTCTCATCCTAATACATTGCAGCTGGGTGCTGTCCATTAGCACAACAAAAGGTTGTTCCATCTCCCCAGACAATGGCATTCCCTGTGATTGTACTTCAGGGTGCTGCACAACCCAGGCAGCAGGGGCAGCCTCAGCCCAGGTAACCACGGCTGGGTTCACATCAGACTTGGTGCAGTGACAAGTAGTTAGAAACAGAAAGCCATCCAGCAAATGTCTCTGCTTTACATTCCAGATCTTCTCAGGGCTCAGACCAGCATCAAACATCAAACTCAGTGTCTGGATATTCACAGAGATTTATCATGGAGGTGATGCAGCCAAGAAGGAGACTTGAGCACAAATGTCAGGCTATAAGAAGGGAGGAGCCCCTGAGGACAGTAGAAAATATTTCAGAGGTAGGAAATGGCTTTGTGTCCCTTTTTGAAGTGTTCCTTTGTATGGCCAGTCCTTCATATGGGGTGGCAGAAGTATCAAGAAGGCAGCAGGTTGATGTGTGATGCTCATCTCCAATAACAAACTGTTTCCCAGCTTCCTGAGATATTTCTCCTGTATCACCAGGAATCTGATTAAAGAGCAGGATTAGGGCAACCTCTTCCTCAGGGGAGACACGGCCTCATCCCGTGGGGAAGCTGAGCTCTGACAGCACATCAGCTCGGCTTAGGGCAGGTATCATTAGAGCACTGCTGCAGGAACTCCTCATCTTCCTCCCCAGCTCAGTGACCCCTTTATCTTCCCTCCCCTTCCCAGCTGCTCAGGCCAGCATTCCCTGGCTGGCTGAAAGGGCAGTGACATTTCTGCAGCGCTGAAACTGAGTCTGGGAGGGAAGCTGACACCAGGGACCCCCTCCCTGAGACATTAATTAACATTTCCTGTAATCTCCAAGCATTTTCCTGGTGTCCCCTGCCATGCCCTGCCCTGGCTGGGCTGGAGCTGGTGCAGGCTCATTGCTCAGCACCACCACGAGCCATCAGTGCCCAGCTCTGTCTGCAGGAGCTCTCCTTGCTCTCCTGGCACTTCCCTGCCCTCAGCTTTGGGGATGGGCTGGGAGCAGGGCCCAGCACCCTGGGGATCTGCACTTCTCCATGCTGAGGAAGGGCTGAGCACAGACACTGGGCTCACTCACCCAGGTACAGCTGGCATGCATTGGTGTAGTGGTTTTGGTTCACCAATCCGGAATTTTCCTGCTGTGGAATAGGATTAGGAGGAAGGCAAAACAGGCTCAACTTTAAATGGTAAAAAGAGAAACTTTATTACTAGAAACTATAGGAAAAAAAACTTAGGATAAAACTTTAGACCATTTTTCCTCCCCCCTTCTTTTCTCTCACACTGAAAATGTACAGAAAAGAAGCTCAGTCAGTTTACCATCTTTTTTTTAAAAAAGAGTCTTTCACTAATTCACCTGGGAGAGGAAACTTTTCAGTCTATGGAGAAGTCTTGGCATGTAAAAATTTCAGGAAACCTTTACAAACCACCACAACTGGCTGCACCTGCTCCAGCACAATCCAGGGGAGAGCTCAGTCCCTGCCTGAGGGGTGGCTGGGACTGGGAGGAACTGGGATCTCCTGGTGCCTGAGATAGCCCATCCATGGGGAATAATCCAAACCTTCACAAGGGCTGCTCATGCTCACTGTCCTGCCTCCTCCTCCTGTCCCTCAGCACCTTCTGTGGGATGGGAAAGGGACAGAGTCAGTGCTGGCTCTACTCTGCTCTGGGGTGCCAAGGATGTTTGAGCTTTGATCTCCTCTCTGCCTAATTGATAGAGGGGATGTTTTCCTCTCCAGCCCTTTGGCAAAAGAAAGGACCAAGGCCACCTGAGGACAAGGAGGGCAGTAGGGTTGGCATTTAGTAGCAGGTTGTTGGGGGGTCTGGAGCATTGGGTTTTGATTTAGGTTTGTTAGGTGCATTTATCACATTTCTCTGATGCTAATGAAGTCCAACAGGAAAGCTGCAGTGATGGAGAGGAGACCCTAATATGGATCCTCGAACAAAGGGGAAACAAGCTGAGGAATTCAGAACAATGACACTAGAGCCTGGTGAGAGGCAGAGGCCCAAAGAAGTATTCATGTTCCACAAATCCTCACCTGAAACTCCTTTTTTGGCTAGGATTCATCTCTAGCGAAATGAACAGCATCTATTTGTCTGTGTAGACATTCCCACCTTGTTCTGTAAAGGTGAAAGTATCTACATAGACAAACAGATATTCACACTCCAGCCAAAACATGGATTAGCTGTGGTTCTAAGCCATGTAGGTCTTTTTAATCCTGTGGCAGCCATTCTTACTTTCCCATTATCTTTAAGTTGGATCTCAGAAATTCATAGGCTGATCTCACACTAAACTTCTCAGAATCCAAGTTTTTCATTCTCTGTGTTTTATGAGACACCTTTGGTGTTTGGACTGAGGTCTAATTTGTCCACGTTATTGCCTTGCTGTAGAAAGGCTGGACTTGAGCAGCTGCACACAGGAAAGTTGTGGTGTTGGTCTGCACTTCCTAATTTCTGACAGGAGAGACAAAGAGAACCCTTTGTGGGATGGATATGGCACATCCTCAGCTGTTTTGAGCTGGGACATTTCCCCAGCCCAGCCAGGAGGTCTCTCCTGTGAGATCCCATCTGGGTTTTTCATTTGGTTATTGAGGTGTGTGGTGACCTCTCCTGGTGAGCGCAGAACGTGCCTCAAGCTCGGCAGCAACTTCTGCTAAAAACAGGGAAAATAGTCCAGACACTGAGAGGCTTTGGTAAAATGATTACTTCATCATCAAAACCATGGTACATGCACTACAGCGAGGTTCTGGGGGTCTCTTTTTTGGGGTGTAGCCCTGGAAGTGTGTGTGAGTGGTGGTGTCTTGGGAAGGCTCTTGGTATGTGTGTGGTGTATGAATGGTTGTGCTGATATTTAAAAGTTTGAGTGTCACATGGACGGCTGAGTTTAGTTCAGCACTAGGCACGTTGATCTGGACTCTCATAATGTATTTTGCAGAATGTAAGTTGGTGTAAGAAGAGATGTGTGTAGGGAGGGTATTTCTTAAGCATTTTGTCTGGGTTAACACTTGCCAGGTTTTTCTTTGCAACTCAGCTCATGCTGGCATAGCTGGGAACAGTGTCACCAGTGCCCATTGAACAAGATTTTCTTGCCAAGCATCCAAATCAAGGGGCAAGAGGTCACACTATCCCATTGTGCTATTTATTGCTGCATGCCATTTGTCAGTGTGGAGCATGCAGAAGGTGAAACCATTTCTAGAAATGGCCAAACAGCTACAGGAATGAAATGGCACCTGTCCTAGAAGTTGCAGTGGTTGTTTACTTCCCTTCTCCCTCCCCTAACAGACTGGTGATGAACCTAAAAATAACCTAACTAACTAAAAATGTGATCATTACATAAA